TATACGTATCTACTTAAGGGCACGAATTTGCAAGGCAACACAGTCCGCAGTCATTAGAGAGTTCTTTATCTGGACGCAAGAATAGCGTCTATTGAGGAACTGAACGACGCAACTCAGTTTTGTTCGTGTCTCCGCTTCCCATTGATACTACCGACACATGCGCATCTACAACGTCACCGTCACAGTTCCTGAAAATGATGAAGTTCTCCACAAGGTAGATTAGTATGGAGGTTTGTTGTTTAACGGCGCATGTTTAAACACGTCCTCTGCTAATACAAAGTTCGCGCAGCAAATTAGACCTTGTTAAATTGGTGGTTTCCTATTTCTGTTCCCTGTGCAAGTACAGGGGCTTGGAATAATTCCAAGCCCCTGTACACCCATAAACACATGTGTCGGTATAATAGATGACTGAGTGTATCGGATGGTCAGGCTCAGGGAATTAGTTTTGAGAATAACCTATCCTCGTGAGTCGCTGTGTATTACCTTCATCACTGAATTGTCTGTCCACACGAGATACTTACATACACTTACATCCTGACTATGCTTGTTAATGTCAACAACAAACAAAATAACAGTAAACCATGCAAAATGTTATCAAGTATCGGTTCTTGAAATAACGAGGGTGAGTGACTACGACTTGCGCGGCGTTTAGCAATATCTCAGATATATCATGGCACGAGATCCCAGAAATTTGCTGCACACAATTTACGCACTTGAATAGGACATGAATATCTTCCCACAACTGTAACTTATTATGCGCAGAACACCATTGGGTGTACAATATGTGTGTAAAAACAAATAGTCTACGTCCCCTAAGGGGCGTATATTATCCATTTGTACGTCCATAAACCTAAATATTGCCAATAAAGACAAATCTGAAAAAACAACTCATTAAGTAACATCCTACAGTTACTGTATTTATATCATGTGGGGAAAAGAGGATATAAGGATGAGGTCTAACAGACCACGAACATGCAATCTGAATCAATCGTTACCATTTACAAGCATCCATAAAAACAGCTGCCCTGCAGTTTGTATTGACATATCTGCTTATTCAAGGAGAACATCAGTCTAGACATCGCCATCATATATCATCCTCGTCCCAGTATCGGACAAAACACGTATGGTGCTCCATTGTGTCTTAATGTCCAGAAAAGTTCATAAAGTCCACGGAACAGCATTGTGGCACACCGTCTTTGGCTGTATTAATTCATTGCTGTAAAACGTTCCTAAGGGACAAATATGTCTTGCAGTGTTTGCCTGAATGCACACATTCTCCATGAAACTTGGAGAGAGAGACAGGGGTCAACTGGAGTCGAGAGCGGTTAAGTGCTACAGTGAGCGGCGTCTCCCAGGAGATGTGGTTCAGGATTGCTTTGAGAGTTATTGGTTTGGAAGATTCCACCAATATATTTTGATATAATTACGATATGGCACTACTTTGTTTTCAGGGGTCATTTCACAGACTTTATAAATATGCGGCCCCACACTGGGGTGAAATTTGGAGCAGCTAAATTTCAAGTAATTATGTAGGAAATATGGAACATATACTGTGACTATGTGTCCCAGTCCACCCAGCTGTAAATGGGTACCTCGTAAGGATGGGAATGCCACACTAACTCGGTGCGCCTAGTGGCTGCAAGAGTTGTATGCTCCCCAGGGAGTTGAAATTGACAATACGATGTGCCGTTGAGATTGACATCCAGTGAACGAGGGAAAAACAAAGCGCCTTTGAGCAGCTGAGCTGAGCTGGATATCGGCGCTATACAAATGTTAGTATGTATGTATGTACTCGTTATTTCAAGAAGCAGATGAGCCTTTTGTAAATTGATCACTGAAAAATATATTGGTGGCGTTACTGATTATCACACACAATAATTATGTGTGGCAATGCATGAGGGTGTTATCTTGTTGAATATTGTGCACACTGATTAAACTCTCACACAACCGGGTACCCCTTTACATATACGTGAAACAGACCCTTGGTTCGTTTGACATGAACCTAACGTTCTTTGGATAGAGACTACATTTAAGGACATGTTCGTCTGTATGTTTTGTTGCCGTGAAATACCACATAATTGACCCGGATCCACACACAATGTAGAGCAACATAAGGGAGCATCCTTGTTGCAACCGCACATTTACTGCTCGTATATTGCAACCTGTTGGTACTGTCGTATAGTGTTAACACACCCACACAGACACATCACACAGAGTCCGAGTTCTGGGCTTCTCACTTTCATGTCGAGCGTCAGGTTGGGTAACCACAAGTACCATCTGTTAACGTATTTTTGGTGTGACGAGGACATGAGATTAAACCACCTAGCCTTCTTCCGCCAGGCAAATGCACTATCCCCCTATACCAATGTAAACTGTTTCTAACAACAGATGTATCCCACCTGTGGACTGATTGCCAACCTTAACGATTACTTGCGCCTGATGTGTGATAAGCACATGTTCGCTAGTGATTCTGAAGCAAGCGTCTCACTCTCTAAACCGTTGGCACACGAGACCAACAGATAACATATTAACACTTTTAGTCCGCCTAACCCCATCTTATTTTGATTGGATCAGAACCATGCGTCTGCCAGTCGAACGTTTTAATATTAAATTAGAGTCATGCATCTGGTAGACGAACACTTTTATATCGACTCATATTCATGCCTCTGCAAGCCTAAAGCTTCCAAATTCAATCAGAATAACCAGTATGTCAATCGCTCTTATTGTGTAAATGTAACTGACTTATCATAGCCTGTGGTGATCAGAGGCAATTATAGTTAGGATTTAACGCTGCACTAGGCAGCTACATGACTTGATCTGGCATTGAGCATCGACCTATGTAATCAGAAACCATACTATTACCCTCCTTGGTGCCCAATTCCGGAATAAAGCATCTTCAAGCTCGCTTCAATCACTCGTAACAAATATATATGAGAACGGCATGCGCCATCGAGCTGAACAAGGGTGCGGCGCGAGGACACAGTAGCCTCTGTTGGGACTCTCACAATCTTCAGGAAATTTAATCAATAGCATCGTAAACCAGAAACATCATTTCCTCGGGAAAGTGTCTTTAATTGATTCTTAATTGTTCGTCATTCGTATTTCAATCGGTCCAAAATATTTCTTGACATTGGTTTCCAATGTTGTGAGGAGGCACAGTGGAAGGAAAAGAACTCTGTGAAGGAATATTTCCGAGCAGTAAGACGTTGTCGCACGTATCGAAGTATAACGCTAAATTCCGATTCCAACTTCTAAAATGCCACTCAGATCTCCCTGTTTACAACGGGATAAGATTCTGTGTTGAGACGTTGCACTCACGAAATAAGAGACGTTGTAATCCATGAAATACGTCCTGATTTCATCCTTCCTCGATTCATGCCTAAGACCCAGGTTGAGTTCCTCACATGGATATACCAAGTGAAGCCATTCTTGCAGTGTTATTGCTGGATAATTCAGAGCAGCATTAACTGATACTCACACCTTCGTATGCGTCTCTACAGCTCTGACATATTGGACAATGTTCTATACCAACACTAAATAACGCACAAATACATGTACATCGTGGACTTTGCATCATGGTCATTCAGTTCAGACGCATGGTGTGAGAAATTACCTACAAAGTCCAAAGTCGGTTAATGCAGGACCCGGAAACATTTAATGGCCTATTTCGTCATGTCACCTACATGTACATTGGGTGACATGCTCTTATCAAGTTTGAGAGTTTTCAAAACTTACGATTTTTATAACTATTCCAAAGTGATTCTAAACCGATGAATATTTCAAGTTTAACAAGTACTGATATTATAATTCTGTTCAAAATATTGCAGAGCTTAAATATACTTTGGACAGTGTACATTTTTATACATAGTTAACTGTGCTGAAAAAATTGAATTTATCTCAAAAACATTCCTTATCCCTCGCTTGTTTTCAAAAAGTCTTTTCGGGTCATAAAATTTAATCAGATAGTCAGGAAATGTTGGTATTATCATGTATGTCTGTTATGCATACTCCCGAGGGGCTCGTTGCAGCTGAAAGCCATCGCTTTTTTAGGAATTAATGTGTAATAACTCCTACAGATACCAAGTCCTCTGCAAGCTGTCAGACGTACTTGACATGGCTCAAAACCGAGTCTCCTCAAATTGTATCACCTGCAATGTCTACACAAACTGTGGAACCACTAAGTCTTCCTGGCACGCCCCAAACCCAATCAGAACCATCTTCTGAACGTGATACATCCTCTCAGGCATCTCAAATGACTCAATCCAAGCAAATCGTCAAAAGCAAAACAAACCGAAGCCAGATTCTTGGAAAAAACAAAGTGGCAGAGCCCCCAAAGGGTCAGATGATAAGATCAAATTATATAACAAATACGGATAACTTGAGGACATGGACATTCTAGGGCACATAGCTTGTCGCCCTTGAAACAGTTGCTGGGTAGATCCCCTATTAATCCACCTAAAAGATAGGTCTATTTAAACATATCATGCAGTGGAACTGTAGAGGACTACAGACAAATTTTAATGAAATACAGTTATTAATCCAGGTTTTAACACCATCAGCGTTCTGTCTGCAAGAAACGTATCTGAAGCAGACAGATAATTTTAGCTTACGTCAGTTTGATGCCTATCATTATTTTCCCCCTCCAGGTGATAGAGCCACTGGAGGTTCTACTATCCTAATACGACAGGATGTTATTCATAGCCCTGTTACACTTACCACTCATCTCCAAGCTGTTGCAGTGCGACTTACTCTGGGTGTAGCATTTACGTTATGCTCTCTGTATATTCCACCTTCATCGAACCTTCAGCTGACTGATCTTCAATCACTCTATGATCAACTCCCGAAGCCATGCGTTATCATGGGTGACCTAAACAGTCACAACCCACTCTGGGGCAATACTAACACTAATACTAAAGGCAAAATACTTGATGATTTTAATTCCAATAATGACCTGTGCATATTTAATAATGATTCAAGCACCTATCTGCATCCTGCAATGGGGTTCGCCGCCACACTAATCCGCTTGGGGGCGCGGGTGTACTATCGGTTATTGTGGCGCTGATCTTGTACTGGTTCATTATGGCCTATGCGCTGCGCCAACGTTGCGCCAGTCACCGTGCAGAACTCAGCGGAATCGAGAGCGGAAACCAAGCTCGGTTACTACTGACGCGATATGGCTGCAACTTACGAAGCGCTCACAGTTCAGAAGTTAAAGCAGGAGCTGATCAGAAGACAGGCAGCAACCACTGGCAGAAAGACTGATCTTGTCGAAAGGTATTTATTTGCTTTGAAAGTGTAACAACAATACAACAGACCTAGAAAGCGTTTCTTATTCCATTTGTGTCTCACTGCTGACTTGTCAATGTCGGCCGTCGTATATCATGTCTTCCACTCAGATTTTTGTACGCTAGATCATATATGTAACGGTGATATGTGTTTGATAGATACAGACCTAATACATTGGCGATTTTTTCGAACATAGTTGCATTGTCACACATTACTGCCATATCACTCAAACGGTAGGGTGTGTGCACTGTACAACCTTGGCACTTGTCACTTTGAACACGGGGCAAAGATAGAGAAATGTCCTTATTCATTGTATGAAACATATATTTTCTACGACTCATTGTCTTAGGTCAATACATCACGGAATCAATTTCAGAAAACCGATAACTCAATATTATTCGTATTGTGGGTAATGAATATCCTTTTTCATCGATAGCTTGACGCACTGTGAATGTTTGTTGATGTGCGGAGCCATGCAGGGTCTTTTAAGCTGTCTGATTGGTCGACGTTTTGTTGTAGGCCAATCACGAAGCCGTTCACAATCCATATTGAGATGAAACTGTCATTTCTGCACTTCGTCTTTAATATACGAGAATAACATCATTTTTGCTTTCCTACGCATTGAGCCACATTGAACAAAATCCAACGTTTACATAAACATCAATAGTCGAAAACTCCTCAGTAAATTACTTGTGTATTGTTTAAACAAATAGCAATTTAAAAATATTTGTGGAAAGTAATATCCCATGCAGTTTCAGCATTTATAAAAGCTATTTCTTAGTCCTAGCTGAATTCCAGAATAAACACAAACTTTTGAAAGAGATAATCAACAATAAAAACCTACTTGTAATCCATGTATTTAATTTTCTGCACAAGTTACTAGTTATATATATATGGTTAACTTGTATAAATATGTTCATATTTCTCATATTGATCACAATAGTACTAAGAGGCTTAATTTGTATTTGTATGTATCTAAACATCTTCATTCAATGATTAAATTAAACGTTGTTCTGTCAGACAATAATATTTCATCAGTAATTTAACTGATGCAGTGACATCATCAATCATGATAAATTTTTCTTCAACACAAGATATTTGTTTTGTAGACTGAAGGCATATGATCGGAATGATGATTTCCGTGGCACTGTCATCCATCTTCCTGAGCCACTTGATGCAAGGTGGCCATCATCAGGATTTAGGCAGCTTCTCCCTAAGCATCAAAGCATCCTACCTCCAATCTCCAAGGAGCTGACAGAGGGATACTTTTTTTTTTTCGCATGGCTGAAGATAATCAGGCTGTCAGTGACTTAAAGTCTATGGAGAAGGGGGCAAGGATGTTCTCAGCCAACAGGGTCCTCGCTTGCAGCGTGTATTTTGAGGGATCATCCACTTACTTCAGTGGAATTGTTGGCGCTTCTATGAAGAATAAGGTAGTTATTTTCCACATTACTAAAAAAACTCCAATATAAAAGTGTAACTCCACAGTGAATGTCTAAGCATAAATTTATAAATAGAGATCAACTTTTGATCAAAGCTAATTTGTTATTAAGTATGTACCTATCACCATTATTAATCCTAAATCATCTTTGTCACCGCTCCCTAAAACTTTTTTTTCGAAAGGTCAGCTACAACTATAAAATAAAGGTGGACAAGACAGGTGCTCCCGTTATCTCCCACTGTGAGTGTCTTGCAGGGAAGGGTCCCCATGCTACTTGCAAGCACATAGCAGCGGTCCTGATCATGGCAGAGCACTTTGTTGCAACAGGCAGTCTTCATGTGGAGAAGAGCTGCACAGAGAATCTTCAGACTTTCCACAAACCAAAATCCACTTACAAAGGTTCTCCAGTGAAAGCAGAGTCTCTACCTTCAAAGCGGAAGTGGTCAGACAAGATGTTGGAAGACCCGCGTCCACCAAAATACAGAAGGATGGCTGGCTTTGATAACCATGTTCGTAATATGATGGTAAACCTTTGCTCAGCAACTTCTGAAGAACTTGCACTGAGATATTTACATGCAAAGGCTGACCTACAGACTGCAGTGAAGGACCATGACTATCTGGACAAGCCCTTTTCAGAGTACTGGGTTGATAGGGCATTGCAGGTAAACATAACACTTGTAACCAACAGTAATTACTCTAGACATGATCAGAAACTGGAATTAGCACTGATAAAGTTCATTTTTTGTAAATAGAATGTCAACCAGATTAAATTTGAGAATGTTATTTCGCATTTAAAACCACCATCATGCTAACTGAAAACTTAAATAGTTTGCACAAGCAGCATGTTATAAAGCTACTAAGTGATGTGAACTTTGATGGTAATCATAAGTAACTGATATAGCCTTAACTTGTATGAAGCTATCTTTACAACTTTAACAATAGTGTTTACTAAATTGATTTTATGTTTCTTCAGGTCACAGAAGATGATGCTGTCCAGATAGAGAAGAGTACCAGTGACCAAGGTGATAATCAAAGATGGCATAGGGAGAGGAAGTGGCGACTAACAGCATCACGGTTCGGAGAAGTCACCAAAATGACAAGTAGAAGAAATAAAAAGAAACTATGTCATTCACTTTTATATGGCCAAACATGTACAAGACCTATGATACATGGTAAACAGTATGAGAAAAAAGCTATTAAACATTTTGAAAAATTGCATGGGATAAAGACTAAGAAAGCTGGATTTTATATTGATACAGACATACCTTTCTTGGATGCAACTCCAGATGCAATCATAGATGACAATTGTTTGGTTGAAGTGAAATGTCCTTATGCTGGGCGTGATGATATGATCAAACCAGGCAAGAAATTTCCATATCTTTTGTATGATTCCACAGGGAAGATTTGTTCGAATCAAAGTAATTATTATCATCAGATTCAAGGACAATTGTACATTGCCAAACGAAAATGTTTTTTTTTTGTTGTGTACACTTTCTGAGATATGTTTGTTGAAAAGATTGATCTTGACCATGACTATTTTCAGCTTTCTATGCTCCCAAAACTAGAACTTTTTTACCAACAGCATCTTAGACCTTACATTGCATCAGTCTTGTAAAATCCTGTATCCACAGACGTTTGGATACACTGCTGGTGTCATAAAACAAAAACAAATAATCTTGGTCATTTTGTATTATTGACTTTATTGACTTGATATCTCTATTTACACAGTTAAGTATAGTAGTTCAGACTTAAGGATCTTAACTAACAATATTTATTCAGTAACTGCACAAAGTCTACATTAAGTGTTGCACTTCATTACATTTTGTTGTATAAATACATGATTTTACATGTAAATTTCCCAAGTTTGAACACATACTTACAAAACTTAACACTGACAGATTTAGTAGTAACAGAGTAGACTGTGCCTCTGACATACTTCAGGTCCGTAACCTATCCAGGATTTACTGGATGCAGATTCCTGCATCCTATGAGCATAAAAATGACAAAGGATGCAACGAAAATTAATATCGCTTCCAAGGGGAAGCAGAAAGAGTCCTAATACATTTTGTAAAATTTCAATCAAGTAACAAGAAGTTATTACAGAGTCTGCTACTAGCCGGGTTATGTATTATTTGCAATTTAATGTACTGTAACAATGTGATGACCATGATGCACAATGCAATAACAGTAACTGAATTACAACAATATAACAACATTAATAATAATATTAAGGTGTCTGGTACCCCCATTGTGTTGTCCAGGACCCCTGAAAATTTAAGAGTATGAGTACCAGGGACCTTCAAATACAGGACGGTGTTCTCTTTTTGCATGCACATATTATTTAGGGATGAAAATTACTGGATTAAAATTACTAACCCTTACAACACTTGGGATTAAAGCTATAGTCTGTAGTAGAAATGCAAGTATGCCAGCAATTAACAGTAAAGTTTATCACATCTTGTTTAATGCATATGGCCATACACAAATTTTACTGATATTGCATGTAACATCATATGCATACACAATATTGCATTTATACAAATATTTGAAAATGAATTATCTGACAAATATGATGAAATTTTTAATCAGCAATTTACATTTCATATACAAATATGAGTCTTTTGAAAATACGGTGACATAGATGTCACACCAGAAATAGATATTTATGTGCACTGAGCAGTATACGTAAATACATACCATTGTATAATTTGTTTCATACGACAATAACCACACTCAGTCACAATCCCACCTGACGAGAAACTTCATAAACAAGTGGTGAGATGGTACCAGTTAAGACTCTAAACTTGCATACTTAACTCTGGGCACCCCAGGAATTGGGAACAAAGTGAACATGTGCCTGTCATTGTAGAATGACTTCTGGTAAACTAAATTGCTGTTTTATAACCCCATGCCACATGTCATATTTGATTACTTTTAATGACTGAGTTAACTAATCATTATGAACTGTGTTCAGTGTGGTGGGTTAGTGAGCCTGGAGGTGAGTGGGAAGTGAACTCCACTTACTTGAACAGACTCTGATTGTGCAAGCACTAGACTGTTAATCCTTATCTGCTTATAGCCAATTAAAGTGCAGGCAGACAGAGAATACACCAATACAGGACTGAAGGAAAATCCCTGCCTATAATAGGTGAGGATCATGATCGCATGCAATAAAAAAATCTAACATGAATCTGTATCATTAATGCTACCATGATGCCTCATTTTGAAGTTGATATGTTCAATATCACAATCCTTTCTTTGAAGTTATCACTTGTTCAAGTTTTACTTATTAAACTGGTCAGTGGCACCATATTGGTGGTAATATTGGGGGCGGCATTCACAATTGCATGTCATCATGCTCCATACCTGGATTATTGGAGTAAATATTGTAATAAAGTTGTCTTATATTTTTATCAATTTTGTTGTGGTTTTGTTTCAGTTATCTGAAAAAGGAAGGCATCAATTATTTGTCCTACTTTTACCAAATGATGTGGTCATAGTGATATATGATATACCTTTATACATGAATCTCCAGATATTTGATATATCTCTAACAACAGAGTTTTCAGTTTTCAACAGCACTGCCATTTTAAATTGTCCTTCATAAATATGGTCATGAAAAGTGCAGGTATATTTTTCGTCACATTACTAATGCAATGTATATACAAATCAAACTAAGCAGACTCATTTACAATGGAATTTCTGAAATTTGAAATGGCAAAGCAGACATACACAATTCTAGACCCAAGCATTACTTTGCTTGGTGGAAGATTTACTTTCAGAATCTTGAAAGTTTTGCTGAGACCAATTATTCTTTCAACATGAATTCTTTTAGATGCAATTCTGCGATCTTTCACAATCTCAAGAGGCTCAAGTTGGGATCTACCTTTAAGTGTTGTGGGTGTATTGACATGTACATCCTGAGCTGCAAAAAGATCTTGGACCAATATACCCCTATCTGCCATTATGCTATCTTTCTCATCAAACATGCCTACCGAGGGGTCTAGTAAGGGAGATTTTTCAATTATTTGACGAGCCCCCAAATGAATCACTTATGAAGGAAACAGCACCTCTAGGTGTACAACCTATCATGGTCTTAATGGTATTATGGTGCTTATAGCTAGACCATGTTACACTCTGAGCATCTACATAAGATGGTTTTTGGATAGGGTTTTCAGTGGCATCTAATATTACTCTTGTAGTACCAAACTTTTTACCAAAATCTTCAGGCATATGGTGATCAACAGTCTCTCTTGATGGCCATATTTTAACTTCTTTTAATTGAAAATACAAAAAATTTATCCATGTGATAACAACTTGTGATACTGTGGAAAACAAACTCAATTCTACATCTTCCTTTGCCTGACGCAACTTCATCAAAGTTAAAAACAATTGGTCTTTAGGGGACAAAGATACACATTGATAATTGAGCTCATAAGCAGCTGGCCCAAGTGAGTGAAAAAAGTACATGAAATGATCATAGTTCTGAAAACCAGTATAATAATGGACAGCCTTAGAATTATTTATATACATGTCAATGCTATATTTACCCAAAAGGTTACACTGAACTTGCTCATCCTGAAATGTACTACCACAAAGGTCACTGTCACACAATGGATCATTACTGGTACTGGTAGAAACATTAGAATCAGATGAGTCCACAACCACTTCCATCTGAACATCTTCCATGGCATCACTGGCTTCTGTCTCCCTCTGCTGGTGTTTCCTCTTGGGTCGACATGATGTCCGCGTCGTGTGAGTGAAGATGGAAGGGACAGCGTCCAGCTTCAACCGTCTTCTCTCTCCTAAAAGATAATTAAAGTGCTGAATTTAATTGTTCCCAGTTCATTGAATGTTAATGAATGATAAACAT